TGTGATGGGAGACAGCGTCAAAAGCCTTGCTGAAGTTGAGGTAGACAATATCCACTGCTTTCCCCTCATCCACCCAGCCAGTCTTGCCATCATAGAAGGCTATCAGGTTGGTCAGGCATGATTTCCTCTTGGTGAATCCGTGTTGACAAGTCCTTTTAATCTTGTTTTCCTCCACATGTTTAGAAGTGACAGCCAGAATAATCTGTTCCATCACCTTTCCAGGGATGGAGGTGAGGCTGACTGGTCTGTAGTTTTCTAGGTACTCCTTCTTGACCTTTCTGAAGATTGGCTTGACATTGGCTTTCCTCCAGTACTCAGGCACCTCTCCTGTCCTCCATGACCTGTCAAAGACGATGGAGAGAGGCCTAGCAACAGCATCTGCCAGCTCCCTCAGCACTTGTGGGTGCATCCCATTGGGGCCCATGGATTTGTGGGTGTCTAGTTTGCCTAAAAGATCCCTAACCCAATCCTCCTCCTCAGGATACAAGTTAAAACTGAGTGGAGACCCAGAAGTCAAAGTCATCGAGCGGTAAAGATTGTAACCCCCTCTCAAAGTGATATCAGTGGGACAACCTGGACGAAACAGGGAAGTGCACGAATCTGTGTGCTTGCTTGGCAGATTCTGCAGGAGCACCATAGGGAAAACGATATGAACTGACTGATGTTCAAGCCCCGTGGAGCCCAGTGTGTTTGTGCAAAGGCAGCTCAGAGGTGGCTGCCTGGTGAGGGCCCTTCCCAGCGCACTCCCTCACAGAGCCCTGGGTGCCAGCACAGCTGCAGGTGCCAGCAGCCAGGGGAGACGCAGGACTGACTTGGAGCTCGGGTCTGTTTGAAGGGGCCACAAGATGTCACTGCTGCTTGCACGACGGCTTCTATGGCTATTGCGTTGAGACATTCATTAGCCAACAGATTGACTGAAGCGATCACTGAGGAAGACAGTGAATACAATGCACGGACAATTTAGAGCCATTTAGAAGCGTTTAGTAAGACTATTCTCTCAAATTGATCTTGAAAATGTCCTTTTATGTTGTTGAGAGGAAGCAACCTTATTTAATATAAAATCGTTAAAGTAAGGCTTCTTTCAATTTCTAGAGTTCCCAGACCATCCCTGCACAAGGACTGTGTATTCCTTACAGTTTAAGGTCATGACTGGCATGAATCTTATACATTAATAATAATTTCCTCCTATACCTAAATACTGATGACTTGCTTTCCCTCTTAATGTTCACACAACTGGTTGCTTTAGGTATCTGGCAATGAACATCCAGGATATGTGAAATGAGACTAAAAGCCAAGGCTTGCATGATCCACTCCCCTAACACCATATTCCACTGGGAGCTGACTGGCACAGAGGGGCTGTAGGAAATTACAGCCTGTTGCTGACCTGGCCCAAGGTGACAGCTGAAAGCATCCACGGGACCAACAGACAGTCGTTGTGGTGGTACCCACCAATACCGACAGTCTGTCTTACTCTCTTTGCTTCTCCGAAGCTAAAAGCATTCTCATTGTAAAAGAAAATGTTGGAGGCCTAAAGTGCCTTTGCTTATGATTGCTTTAAATCCAGCTGTTTACAGTAGGTGGCATTAAAAACTCATGAGTCACCACAGAACACTGGCAGCACCACAATCTCTCCTTGCATTAAAACAACAGCGTGCAACCGTTGCTGCAGAAGCCTGAGAGAACCAATGCTGTTTCTGTTAAGTGTCTGGAATCCCCCAAATCTCCCCCATTCTCCTGAGGGTATCTGACCAGGTGTCGTGGGAGAGAGCTATATATCACCCGGTCTTTTGTAATACCCTTTTCATTTCAGGCACTGCAGTGCAGTAAAGCCCCAGCCTCGCTACAGGCTCTACGTTAGCAGTGGAATCCTGTGTCAGGGAAACGGTTTGTCAGCTCTGAGCTTGCTGCAAGGTTTGGTCCCAAAATTCCAGATGATCCTTCTGCTCTGTTTTAAAGAATCAAGCTTATGTTCCAGGTGCAGAGGTTAGGTTTCCAGTTATACACAGAAGAACTGACAGATGGTGTACTGTCAAGAAGACTACAAAACCTTCATTCTAGTATTTTAAAATTTAGGGCTTTGTGGTGGGGTGTTTTTGTTTAATTCCTGGCAACCTGTGCAGGGCAGGTAGCGTTGTTCAGAGTGATGCAGAAAGGGACTAAGTGCTCCATAAAACCATCTGTTCCCTCTCTGGAAAGAAAGAGTCTGAGGGTGATAAAGAATTCAGCAGTCCCCTGTTAACTCCAAAGAGCAAAAAGGCAACAGCTACTGGGGACAAACATTTCAAACATGCAGACAAGCAAAACTGGCATGCCACATTCTCGCAAGTTAGCCTGACAGCAGTCCCTGGACAAAGCTGAAGAGCTTGCCAGTAATAAGGTAATCAGAGGACAGGAAGTTATTTCATGCTCGCATTCAATGGTGACCATCTATTGATAAGCACTTCTAATTTGATCAAATCAGATTTCTTTGCTAGGACTCTTCCCTTAAAATGCTGTGATCTGGCTCATCACTCATCAACACTCTGAAAGTAAAAGCACCGCTGACAAAACACACAAGTAACATGGCAACTAGCAGAGCAGTGGAGGATTTGGACGAGGCTGTGGTTTGAATTATTGGCCCCTATGCTGGGCCCGTTCAAGAAAAATGCATTTCAAAGTGCCAGGTGCAAAGTTGGGTCTTTAGGAAAAAGACAAGCAGACAACACTTCCCAAATGACAAATTCTGGAAAACAGCTACTGCAGGAAGGAGTCAGAAGCAAATCAACGCAGACCTCCAGTGTGATGCCAGAGCAAATGCAATCATCTAGATGCACAAACAGGAGAGCACTGAATAGGGAGCTGATTTTGCCTCTGTAGGAGTATTCAGCAGGCTGGTATTACACTTTCAGTTTTCACATGCTTTGGTAAAGACAGTAAAAATTAGAGAGGCAGAGTGAGGGGAAAAAAGTAATGTGAAAAATTGCCTTACTGTGAGAGCACCTGAAGAGTTCAATGGAAGCAATTTATCAACAGAAAAGGGAGCAACTAAATTCTGCACAGACAGGGAAAAAAGCTTTGCATCTCTTCAATGAATAAGAGAAAAGTGTAACAAGAGTTACAGACTGGATATTAAAAGTGGAAAAAATTCACAGCAGAAGCAAAGGATAAACCTTTGATAATAAGAAGAATTAAGCATTGGTACAACTTCCCAGCTGGGTATTTTCTGGATATTTTCACTTAAGACCAGATGACCTTTTTGAAGAGAGGTTTTGCCAGCCACAGGGCAATGACATTATCCAAGAGGTTCATCCATTTCTGACTTGTCTATATCTGCTAGTTAAGGAGTTGATCCATTTTTCATCTAATTCCAGAAACAGCCTTTACTTGCACCATACAGAAATCTAGACTGATCCTGACAACG